ACGTGCATCGAGTGTGAAAGATGATGTTCCGAAGCCAATCATCTTCCCCCACATGGGCTGCATTAAGACTTCGACGGATGACTAGAGATTCACCTTGGTATCCATAAGTGACATAATCTTCGTCCTTCGATTCTTCCTTGTCAAGTAGTTCTTCCTCCGCTTCTCCTTTGACCTCCTCTTCAATTAATGAGATAATCTTGTGATTAGGACACTCGGAAGCTATATGTCCAAATCCATGGCACTTGAAACATTGACAAGAATTGGAGTTGGACAAACTAGACCTAGTGGAATTAGCCTTGCCATCTTGTTTAGAAGGGGGCTTCGGGTTGGTTGTCTTTGTTGTTGGTGACAACATGGAGAAAAAATGACTATAAATATTTAAATAAGGCCCTCTAACATTACATTAACCAATTAAGTCCATTCCATAAGTTTCCAAGCCATAGGTATTGTTTCCCACATTTACCCACTCTCGGGTTGAAGGAATTCCCGATACTACCTCACTAAAACAGTTATAACTCTCGGTGTAATTGGAACCTGAAGATAGGGCTAGTACCATTGGAAAGCTGACGAAAACTGCTTCAATTTGGGGTCAAGAATGACCTTATTTGGATTTAAAATGAGGGAGTAATGGCCATTTGAAGTTTGGGTTAACAACCAGCGAACATACATGTAAGAGTGCCCGATCGATCGAGTCTAACTCGACCGGTTGTGTCCAAGCTCGAACGGTGGTGGGGCTAAGAGCATGAAATCTAAGGTTTTCTCAATTTTTTTCTTAGTATGGGAGGCTTGATCGACCGAGTGTGGACTCGATTGATCGAGTTGAACCTTGGCCATTGACCTGCAAAGAAGCCTTAGTTGGTTCCTGCATGGAAATTAAGACAATTGGCACCTCAATACACTTAAAATATGTCCCAAAGCAATCATAAAAACATAGATGCACCCCCAAAACATTATCCATACATTATAATGGTTCAAAATTCATCACCAAATTTCATATTGTCCCAAAACTTCAAGGTAAGAACATAGTTGTCATCCTCATCACCTATCTGCCCAAATTGTACAAATAACATCCCAAAAGAATAGAGACCCTTAAGGTCTTAATTACAATGCCTTATACAAAATAAACAAAAAATATCATCTTTACAAAAATAATCGTCATAGCTAAGCATTGTTTACAAAAGACTACAAAAGATGGTTTTGTCAATCTTGACCACACTTGTGGAGGAACGTCATTAACCATTTCCTTGTCGTGACCTGTAAATTGTTAAAGGAAGGGGTAAGCACAAACGCTCAGTAGGAGATGCCTAAGGCGCCAACTTTAGACTCCCTTGAGTAACACAACACACGTTAGGGCTTAAGAAGCAGCAAGATCATACATTGGGGATTTTATGAAATCCGAATCACAGTTCAATCCAATAAATGGCATTAATACAATTTTGCATAGTTTTAAATGAAAATGCAATGCATAATTGTCCTGACCTTGGTCTCGAACCGACCCCAACTCATGCTGAAAACCGTCAACTGACTTTATCGAGGCGAGATTGATTAGCGATCCTTGGTCTAGTAATCAACATTACGCGTCCTATAACCAACACACGCTCCCTCTAGGTCAAGTTAGCACCAGACTCGTGAAATTCGGTTCTTTTATAAAATCCATTTCACACCCATTCTAAAATGACTCAAATATCATACTCAACTAGGCCTTCCCACCATGTCATTCACATGAACAATTTCATCAATTAAATTTCAATTTCATTCACATAACAACAATGGTATAAGCATGGCATCTTCTACAAAAAGAGGCCTTCCCGCCATGTCATTCACATGAATCAATTTCATCAATAAAATTTCAATTTCATTCACATAACAACAATGGCATAAGCATGGCATCTTCTACAAAAAGAACACAAGCATGACATTTTCTATATTTTAACCACAAGCATGCTCATCATAGAAATCATATCAACACAATCATGCTAGCATTTAACATTTAGCATAGAATGTCACAGTTTTCATCATATATAAGCATGCTTTCACATCCATCATTGTACTACTATATTTCATTCAACAAGTTTACATTCAAGAATAGAATTAAGATGAAATCATGTGAAAATACTCAAAGAAAGGCAAAGTTTGAGGCATTAGGAAACCCCTACCTCAATGGAAGACAACCAAACAAGCCCTTAAGCTAGCCCCAATTTTGAAAACTCCCAAGCTCTAGAAATATTGGTCTCAAACGAAAGCCCTTGCCAAACACTCCAACTTCTCCTCCTTGCTTCTCTCATAAATCTCACTCTAAACCCCTCAAATATGGGTTGGAAACATAGAAGACATGTATATCTATATAGATATAGAGAGACAAAGAGAAGAGAGAGAGAGAGAGGGGGTTGGCTGAAATGGGGGGAAGGAAAAAGGGGTTAGCAAGTCTTCATCTTGGTCAAGTGGTCCTCCAAGTGCCATGTCTAATTTTTGTCAAAGTTACTCTTTTGCCCTTATTCATTGCAATGCCAACCAAGTTCTCAAAATATCTTCCTATATATATATATATATAACATGCCAATAATGTTCCTTAAATATATATATATATATATATATATATATATATATATATATATTTGTGTGTATAACATGCCAATAATGCTCCTCAAATAAATTGAGAAAATCGGGAGAAGTTCCCAAGCACGAAAGTCGTCCCGACTCCGAGAAATTCTAAAATCAATCCCGTCAATTCTAATAGGCTCAAAATAATTAAAATTGCATTTCTAAAACTCCCGAGCTCAAGAAACTGTCCCGTACGATCCTTGGGACCTGTGCGGCACTCAAAACGAAGTATGGAAAATAAATAGAATAAAATTACTAAAAAATCTAGAAAAGCCAGGAGAGCTTGTAAGGTTGAGGATGCTCCTCCGTCTTGAGTTGCTACTTTTCCAGCATTTTAGTAGCTACTGCGTTCTCACAACTTCCACCATCAATGATAACATCACACACCTTACCATGAGACGTGCATCGAGTGTGAAAGATGATGTTCTAAAGCCAATCATCTTCCTCCAAGTGAACTGCATTAAGACTTCGACGAATGACTAGAGATTCACCTTGGTCTCCATAAGTGACATAATCTTCGTCCTTCGATTCTTCCTTATCAAGTAGTTCTTCCTCCGCTTCTCCTTTGACCTCCTCTTCAATTAATGAGATAATCTTGCAATTAGGACACTCGGAAGCAATATGTCCAAATCCATGGCACTTGAAACATTGACGAGAATTGGAGTTGGACAAACTAGACCTAGTGGAATAAGCCTTGCCATCTTGTTTAGAAGGGGGCTTCGGGTTGGTTGTCTTTGTTGTTGGTGAATACTTGGGAGGTCGAAATACTCCCTGGGTTGGAAACACCATCACGATTCCAAGTTCGGTTATTTCCTCTTTCCTTGAGTTGCCGCTCAACTTTTATTGCAAGCTTAAAGACATCATTATAGGTCCATTATGGTTTTAATTGGACCATAATGTGAACTTCTGACTTCAGCTCACCAAGGTAGCGAGCAATGGTTTGTTCCTTCGGTTCGGATAAGTCACAACGCATCATGAGATTATCAAATTCAGCTGTGTATTCCTCGGCAAAAACTTTATTCTTGATTCTTTGTTCATCTTTTCCCAAGTAACAATTCTATTCTTTCCTTTACGTACACGTTGCTTCTTGAGATGCTCCCACCAAATTGAGGCATGCTTCTTCAATTTATTGGCTACAAGCTTTACCTTGCGGTCATCCGCAACATTTTTGTAATAAAAAATTCTTTCTACGGTATTAAGCCAATCAATGAATTCATCCCCTTGGATCCTTCCTTCAAATTCTGGAATGTCAACTTTGATGTTGTAATCTCGTGAAAATACTTGGTTCCTTCTAGCTCGACGGCGTAGAGGAGCCTCTACATCTGATGCTTGATCCCTAGCACGGTAAAAGGGGTTAATCTCCTCTTCATTATCTGATAAATCATTCCCTGAATCATGATGTGATCCATCATGTTCCCTGAATCACTTGTCTCCTCAAATCATCTAATTCGATGTCACGAAGGTCTCGTTTGTGTACTGGTGCTTCAACATTTGGAGCCGACGACGACGGTTAGCCATCAAAACCTGGAAGAGTGAGGAGTAAACACAAGTAAACACTCTACGTAACACATTCACACTCAATGGAATCCACCAAAGAGATAGAGCAAAGATAACATGAATACTGGTTCTTTAGAAATTCTGAAATGATCTTCAATCTGCGTTGCTCATTACAAAATTAGGACTTGTATAGATGGTATGGAACATCCCTCCAACCATAGTTACTTGAGCAACAATAAATATTAAATCTAGGAACATGAAAATCAGAAAACTTGAAGGCTTTTGGAATGCAGAAAATGCAATCTCTGTTCTTGGCCTTGCTGCGATCAGTAGATTTATAGTCACGAGATGAGCCATATATCAAAAGAAAGGTCTCGAAGTCTAGTTTTCAGAACATCAAACGGATCGTAAATCGGAGCTTGGTATAGGGAAAGGTGATCATTTTACCAACTGGTGTGCAGGCTGTCTACAAAAACGAAAATGACTCTTTGAGTTTTCCAAAGAACTAATTAGTTATTCTTTGAATGTGTGGCTAAGTTGGGATTGCCAAAGGTTGTTTCAGCATAAAAAATCCTAACCCTATCCCCCTTTTGTCACCATATCTGACTGTGCGGCTTCACCAAATTCCATCTCCACCCAAACATCATCCAACCAAAACTCATTAATACCACAAGCCCTAGCCACCCACTATTTCCTCAGGTCAACCAAAGTCCCAAAAACCTTAATCAGACCTTCGCTGCCCATAAAAAGAAGATGAAGAGGAAGAAAAAAGAAAAGAAATCTTTCAAAATGTGCTTTTTGCCTGTGGTTCTCCACTAAATGTAACTGTGGCTTTGGATGTTAATATATGTTATTTATGTTTTATTTAGTGTTGATTATTAACTAACTGCATTGTTCTGCAGGAAAATGCAATTTATAGACGTGCTGCAAAAGGAGAATTCAAGGAAACTTCCAACGTAAAGGTGTGATTAAAAATAGTTTTATAAAATGTTTGTTTGTGTAATTAGCACTTTTTTTTTTCTCAGAAAATGTTTATTTACGGAATTGTAGTTCCCAGCCAGTGTAAACAATTCTTGGAAGAGTGATTCTTAGAATTAAAATTCCTAATCAAGTCATGCGCAATAATCATAGCATCCCGAATTTTTCTCCCTCTGATGAACTCATTTTACTCTAAGCCAACCAGTCTATTCAAAATCAAAGACAATCTAGAGGCCATAATTTTAGCAATTATCTTTTTTATCATATTACAAAGGGCTATAGGCCTAAAATCAAAGACCTTCAAAGCATTATTCTTTTTTGGAATCAAAGTAATAGATATACCAGTTGGAAGATTTTAGACTCTCTAAAGAATTATTGAACTGTTGTCACTACATCACCACCAATTAAGGACCAAAACTTTTGAAAAAATCTTGCAGTGGTTCATCAGGCCAGGTAACTTATCAGGATGAAATCCCATAACAACATGCTTAACTTCTTCTGCAGTCATTGGTAGTTCAAGAGAAGTTGCTTCAGCGTGAGTAAGAATCTTTCTAGGACTTGAGAATCAATGTCAGCATTTGGCTTAGACTTGGTATGCATTCCTTTATAAAAACCAGCATCATACCTTTAATTTTTTTAGGATCGGAAGACCAAACCCCTTCCTCATTCTGCAACTGAGAAATACTGTTAAAATTCCTATTTAGCATCATTCTTCTATGGAAAAACTAGTGAATCTGTCATTATCATTCAACCAAAGGACTCAAATTAACTTAGATTAAAGGTGATTGACTGATGGTTGACATTTCTCTCAATTTTTTCTATCTTCTTTGACGCCGAGGTCTTCTACTCCGGCGTCCGTCGTTTTTTCTTCTCTTTGGCGCTGGAGCTGTGGTTTTTTGGTTGGATAAGTGTCATGCAACATTCGTATCTCAAACTGGTGACTTTACCACATCTCAATTTCCATGGAGAGATCAAAACCTGTTCAATCGACAGAGATGTGGTTTTTAGGGTTGATCACCAAAGTATTACAGGATGTGAATCCGTCCTCAAATCTTGTTTAGTTGGCCGTTTTGATCGTGATGTGGGGTGTACCAAGGTATTGAGGAGTGGGTGACAAAGTCTTGGAAGGTTTCGTGTGGGGTTGACGGTATCAACCCTACCTGATGGCCTTTTCCTGTTCTAACTACCATCGGAGGCCAAAGCACGTAGGGTCTTGGATGTAGGGAGGAAGAGATGGGGAGAAGCCCTTTTATACATTGACAAGTGGTATTTCGCGATGGGTTGCTCAGCCATGGTTGATCGAGATAGGATACTAAGGGTGGTGTTGTTTGGGTTGCCCCTTCATATCTGGTGCCACAAGTTGTTCGAAGCCATAAGTGATCTCTGCGGATGTTTTGGCGAGTGACGAGAGAGTTCTTCTCTATGTCTCTATTGGAGCTGTGGTGCCGGAGTATGTCTTTGTAAAAGACCAGCTTGTGGCCTTTAAAGTCAATTTGATAGAGGAAACCTCACCTTGCATCCTTCCGAAGTCCTATTATAGTGCTGGTGAGGTTTCCCACCTCACGTCTGGTGGAGAGCTTAACAGTGGATGTTGCTGGCATTTGCAGACTCATTTGGGTTCCCAAGGATAGAGACAAGCGTCCGTCAACGCACCTTCTGCAAGTGGGGAAAGTAGACCCATGAGATGTACGCGTAACGTCCGTCATCAACGCCATTCAAATCCTTGTTTTGATCGCCTTGATGGTAACCAACCACGTGGACGGCTACGTGGCATCATAGGAGACTTTCATGCGCGGTTTCAGATTTGCTTAAGTTTGGCCATGATTTATCCTATGGGCTGCTAAACCCATCAATAGTGGGCTGTTAGTTAGTCATTGGCCACAAGTTACAAAGGATACTAAGAGGAATGTCGTGTGGGGGTCTAGCAATCATTTATCTATTTCTTTCCTAAATGACAAGCCCAACCCACAGTTGCCAAAGCCCATCCGCGACAATGATAAGTCATGAAATGGGCCACCAGATGATTTAAAAAGAAAGGTTTTTTGGGGGCCCAAAAACCAGATCTTTGTTTCTTTCCTTAATACAAAGTCCAATCCATCTACTGAACCCAACTTCGATTATCCACAGAGTCGTCCTCTTCATGTTATTTTTGCAAATTTTTGGACTTCGCCGGAGAAGAGAAGATGGATGAAACTCAATGCCGACGAGGCTAGTGTGGGTATAGACGAGAAGGTTTTTCGTCATTTACAGTGTTGTTCTGATGTTTCAAACACGTCCATACCAATCACTGCTTGGACAAAGGGAAGAAACTCTAGATTTTCATCTCGGGACTCTCACAGACAAGCATGTTTATAGTTGGTCGAGAAAAGATAAACAGAAATGGACCTCTACGAATGACCCAAGTATGTCCTCTGTTATTCACCCCCAGAGATCTCCTACTGCCCCCTTCTTCCTATTCTTCTCCTTCTTGTGGGGCGACGAGAGGCGATGTTGAGACGACAATGGAGAAGAGCAGTGTGCTGTCAATTGTGCCTTCGGCACCTGAAGTTGAGCATGGTCTGGTTACGGAAAGGAAGGTTGCCAATGGCTATAGTTCTAGTTTATGGAAAGGAAGGTTGCCAGTGGACAGAGGTTCTGGAGCAAGATTTATCCTATAGTTCTAGTTTAGAGAAAGGATCTCTAATCATATGCGGTTATAGCAAAAAAGGTTAATCCGGCTTAGCCTTGGTTTTGCTTTTGTGGCTGTGTGGTCACGAGAGCGGTTGTATCAGCTCTCTCTTCCCTGTCTTACTCTCGACTCTTTTAGCAATCTGAAGTAGATGAAAAGGCCTCCTTTCCGGCACAGTCAAAGGCAACAGGAGAGTCTCAAGCAAAGAAAGAGAGAAAAGTCACCGACATTGACCAACTTTCACTCCTCATCTGGTCAATCGGGTCTACCACCAAGCCTAGGATCCGACCTCCCTAGGTCTCTTGTTTAACGCCTCTCGGCCTAAACACAAAATACACCGAATCGTGGTCAGGAATGAAATATGGCCTTAGCTTTGAACGCATTGCTTGGGTGGTTCAACCTTTAGGTAGAGCTATATATGTAGTGTTCCGCTAGTGAGAATGACTTGGTGACTCTAGTGGATTCGAAAAGGCAAATGAGCTTATTTCGCGTTCAAGCCTTCTGTTTCCTATCCTTCGAACAAGAAGAATCTGCCTTCATCTTCGTTTGAGAAATGCCGAAATAGGAGAGCAAAGAACAAGCCCGGGAAGATCCTATTCTTAACTTGCCCTTCTTTCGAGTACGAGATCTCTGGGTAATCCTCTTCCTCGCCCCCCAATCCCAGTATAAAACTCATACCCCAATCATTGCTCAAATCCGTCGAGTTCGGAGCCTATTCCAGTGAGAAAGTCACTTTCTATCCCTTTGCTTTATAGCTCCTCTTTCTGAATCGTGCAACAACACTTCATCACACCCTACTCTTTCAGTAGCAGTTGTTGTGGAAGACATGCTTGGTACCATCCAAATAGAAGCTTTTTGACTCAACAATGCCCAATGGACCAACAAGGCTTCACCTACTATTTTATAGAGTTCCGTTGAATCAATTAATAAGGGAGCTCTTTCGATTGCAAGAGCTTTCACGTTCTCCAAATGAGTGACTTTCTAACTGGTAAAGGGTCCAGGCGTAGAGGGAGGCTTGATGAGCCCCCAACTACGAAGAGATGTTCAATTACGGAATTTTGAGCTTAGATGAATCACAATGAAGAAGTTCGGTTCGCTTTTTCCTTCCGGCTGAAGAGCAAGCTTAATCAAGACCTAATAAAGGATGAATCGCCGAAGCAAGGTTCACGATTGTACTTCTCTAAAGAAAGGGTTGACGCCTCTACCGTGGACCGATCTTCACTTGAACTTGAGAAAAGCCAATTCTAGCTCCAGTCGAATGGCAGGAAGAATGATTGAAGAACCTCCTTAGCCTGAAGGCGAATTGCAAGATCCCCTGCTTTCACTTTGAAGAAGAAAAAGGAAGAACGCCAGTAAGGTAATAAAGTGCAGGTACTATATTAATTGGTCCCTTCAAGTCCGTAGCCAACTGCTGAGTAGAAAGCAACTTCCGGTCTTTCTTTCTTGTGATTGGCCAATGAATTCTATCAGAAGATCTGTACATTGCATTGGTCAATCGCGTTACACGATACAGAGAAACTCAACATGTTATACTGCACTGTTATCAATATCGACAAATCATATTGTACACCAATCAGTATGCAATATCAAAAATCAAATTGTTACATGTTATATTCCTATGCACCTTTCCTGGTTCCCGCTTTTAACAAGCAAAAGAGAAATCAAGAATTTTGCAAAATGACAAAAGGTCTCCATTGTTCTTTATATGTCAAGTTCCAATTCAGTAATTGAGAAAATTTAACCTCAATCATACATCCATACTGCAGAGAGGAATACAGATACATCCGTTGTTATTTCTGCACATTCCTTGTCCAAATAGGGGAAGCCTTGATATAAGCTTGCTATGGATCTAACACCTGATCTATTAATTCTATTAGATGCGCTCCCACATATAGTACTTATTTACAACCACTACATTCTCAAAAAGTAAATAATGCATTTACAGAGCTAAATACAGTTGTGTACCTGTAGATGATTGAGAACAATAAGCTAAAGCTCTTTTCTAGAACCACAGACAACCTTTGCTACACGCTTGAGACCCTATTTTAGTAATAAATTCAGTCATGTATATATTATGCCATTTTATTTTAAATAATATGGATGGTTCAAGTGAGGCAGAGTATACCACTTAACCGAGAGAATTAACTAGAAATTGATGGACTAGTGGACTTATCCGAGCACCGCATAAAAGGCTAAGGAATCCCTCTTGGGGAGTTGAGTCTAGTCCTGTATATAAACAGTAGAGAATGGTGAACAGAAAACAAATAGGGAAAGATGCCATTAAATCATGACAGTTTTCAGCAGTTACCGTGGTCCATTATCAGAGTAGAAAGCGAAGAAAATTTCTCATGAAATGTATGCATTGCATGAGACCATTGTTTACACATGACTGATAGTGATACCCGAATGACTTCAGTTAAATCCTCTATGTTAGAAGCTTGTTGAGCCACCTGGTGAAGCTCATTTTTCCTAGAGTTGGTTGGGGGTTGTGAGGAAGAAAAAATCAAAGAAATTAACTGATAGTTTTATCGAAAGGTCATATAAAATTATAATAGCCTCCAAATAGGACTACTAGAATCATCATCGATTTGGTTAAGCAGAGTAATTTCAGCATTACATACTCTATCTCTATTTTAGTTTTAGTTAAAAAAAAAAAAAAAACTTTAAAATTATCTCTTTTAAGGCAGAAATTACATCAAACATGAATAGCAACTTAAAAAGGAGGGGATATTAAGCTATAATAAATAATCTATAAATGATGAATATTGTTGAAAGGAGGAAGAGGGATAAAACACCATATATTTATTCTCTAAGTTACAAAAGAGTTCACGAGTGCTAAATCAAATAAAGGCAACAAACCCAAGCTCATGTTTAAATGCCAAACTAGTAAAACAGGGCCTACTACTAGAAGAGGATACATCCACAACAAAATTAGACATTTTGGTAACCTAAAAGAGATAAGAGAGAGAGAGAGGTTGCGAACTCTCTGTGGCATATACAATCAAATGACTTATTCTACAAAGGAAATTAAAAAATGATAAATTCGGATTATATATTTTTTTCATAATGGTGACTGATGACGAGTTTGAGCGGTAGAACCTGGTTAACCAGGCGTACGAAGGGGTAAAAGTGCATCTAAACCTTGACTTTCCGACTTCTATGGAACAATGCTTGAGGATGGCTGCTTTCTTCTTGTTGAAGAAGCGGATCTAGCTGACCTTTTTCCGCAGGCAGATTCATAAATTCGATTCTATGGCAATTCTCGTGCCCTTTCAATAGCGTTCTACTGCTTTCTAAGGGTGCCATCTATGCTCCAATCTTTGGTTTCAGATGTTTGATTTCCTTCCGTCATCCGTGTGACATATTTCTTTATAGTACCTTTTTTATAGTACCTCAGCTCCTTCACGGCAAAACTCCTCAAGGCTCAGGTAAGCTCGAATGTGGGAACTAGATAACGGGGCGCTTCGCTTTCTAAGACAAGATTCTCAACTCCAACCGTCATCCTTTGTCTTATGTCATAGCCATCCTCTTCTGCATCCACCACTCATGCAGGATGTGCAAATCTTTCTTTTACCACAGGTTCTTCCTTCGTTCTTGACGCCCGTTGATGTGAATCCTTTCGGTATTTCTTTTGAGAAGAAACAAGCAGCTTGTGGACCTTATAAGCTCATTACGTTGTCACTTGGTGGAGACGGGCAAAGGCACAGAGCAAGAACGCACTTTAGGTCCCCGCTCTTTTTGGGCATCAGCTAGAGAGAGCTCTTTTCTGCAGATGTGTAAGAGAACAACCGAGTCAATTTGCCAAGACAGAGCTGCAGATCGCTCATCCCTGCACGATGAACCAAAAACAGACTTTCATAGTGCCGGCTGGAGGGCTAGGTTAATGAGATACTCCACTAACAAGGAAATAGTGAAATAGAGGACATAAAAGTCAGTGTATTAAGTTGGTTGTTCCATTTCTGTTCCCATTGCCTAGTAAACAGAATGACCAGCTACAGTGCCCCGGCTCCAGATGTCACTTGTGATGGTGGGTGCCCTTGTAATAGCATTCAATCCAAGCCAACAGGGGATCCTCTTTGCTTTTAGTTCCTATTGACTGGGTTGAGAGGCTGCTTTGGGTTGGAACATCTGCGCTTGGAGTCGTTCGGACTCACAGGCAACGTTCGCTAAGGAGTAGCGATCCCAGGAGAAGATAGCAATTTTGTGGACGTAGAAAGGGTTAAAAAACCTGTAAAAGCATAGTCCTCTCAAAAGCTTTCACTCTTGGGCCTCATAAAAGGCTGGAAAACATCAGAGGGACGACTCAATGGAGGACTATAACGCTTTGCTTCACTGTTCCCATTGTCTTAAGTAGTCCTATCTTTCTAAGCCCTCTTTCTTCCCCATGTTAGTGAGTCAGCCAAGCTTCTTGGAAATGACTCTATCTGATGTCTTCTTCTAAATGAGAGAAAGTGCTCTCTCTTTTTAGTAGATACCACTGAAAGTCTTTCACCTGTTGTGACATAGGTACGTGTCTCCAGGACCTCGCCTGAACCCCTTACAGCAGAAGAAAGATGAGGTACTAGAACGAAGGAGAAGCCTTAAGGATGATAAAATTACCCCTCTGAGACGGAGTCTGTTTCTGTAGTTGTAGCATAGCCCGATAAGGTTCCCACTCGCCTGGAATAGACAGAGGTTCTGGTTCACTTAGGTCTCAGCACTATGGCTATAGTTCTAGTTTAAAGGATAATTACAAAATGAAGTAGGGAAAATAAATAGAATAAAATTACCGAAAAATCTAGAAAAATCCGGGACATTACAAAATTTAACTGTGGCTTTGGATGTTAATAATATGTTTTAAAGTTTTGTTAATAATATGTTACAAAGTTTTGTTAATAATATGTTTTAAAGTTTTCTTTAGTGTTGATTATTAACTGCATTGTTTTGCAGGAAAATGCAATATCTGAATGTGAAGCTGAAGGTTGTTTTAGGGCAAATTTGTTTACAAAGGTATGTCACCTATTGTGTGCAACTGCCTTTGTTTCTCAGCATATAGTTGTCTGTCACTTGTGTGCAACTGCCCTCAGCAGAGCTGGTGGCTTTTTTTCTTTTCTTTTTGTTGATTATTAATTATACTGTGCAGATGCAAGATGTGCTATATGCTGGCAGTGCTCACCCACTCTTCTGGGTATCTTCTTACTTTAAGAAAGTGTCATTGTCATTGATGGTTTCTTAAAACGTTTACCTTAAACTTAAAAATATATATTTTTTAGGGAAGAAGGGGACATCCTTCCATCTATGGTTGTCATGTTTTCCGACGTTTGTATTCAACTGGTGAAACTCTATCGGATAAGGTCATATCAAATTTCTTAATTTTCTGTCTTGGATTTCTCCTCTTTTTTCCCCCCCCCCCCCCCCCCCCCCCTTTCTAATTAGTAAAATGTTACAGATCTTGTCCTATTCCAACTTTGATGAACACAAAGAACTTCTTTTGCGTTACAATTCCTTTTTCCCAGTAATCTCAGCAAAGAACAAGTTACCGTATAGGTCTACATACATATCTAAATTGGATTATATGCTGTGGAGTCAAAAAGCTGCATCTAGTCCACGTCAAGCCCTTGTCATTGAGTATTTGTTGACAGCTGATTGGGTGTTTGTAATAGACGTCCAACATTCTTTGTTAAAGGAGAGTATTAAATGCGCGGAAGTGCCTACCTTAGGCAAGGGTTTTACAAGAGTGATGTTTGATGGGTCTTTCAATCCCTCCAACAATACAGGAAGCATCGGAATTGTTTTTGTGAACTGTGAAGGAGAGTTGATTGATTTCATCAGCCAGCCTATTGATACTGTGATAAAGACATCTCTCGAAGCTGAATTTGCTGCCCTCCAAAAAGCTATAGCAATATCCACCAAGGAGAAGAAATTACAGAAACTGGATCTTCTTTCTGATAATGAAGGCATTGTTTTTGAATTGAGTGATGGCGACAAGCTTGATTACATGTATTTACTTATTTTTAAAAGGTTTTAATTTTTTATTAGGAATTTGTTCAACTTTATGATAATGAAGACTCATTGTGTTTTTGTTGTGGAACAGTAATCTGCGCGAGGAATTGAAAAAACACACTACAATTTGGTCTATCCGTCACGTCCACAGGGAGGGCAACTTAGCAGCTGATTACTGTTGCTCCTGTGTATTAAGAGGAGCTTTTTGTGATAAGGAGGTTGTTAAGAATCTAGTTGCTAAAGATTGGTCGAGGCCAGCCTTCGTTTTTAAACAAAAAAAATTGGTCAAGTCGAAGGATGCTAGTGGGGAAGAAATTTGGGTTTCTGCAAGCTGAGCATTTTTTACTGTTGATTCTTTTGTGTTTAACAACTAATGGCTACCTCTACTGCATTTGTTACTGTTGATTATTTAGTGTTGAAACAACTAATGGTTACCTCTACTACATTCGGCTGACTTATTTCAACATGGTTACTGTTGCACGTGTAAAAATCAAATTGGGTCCTCCCACTTCGAATGGGGTCCTCCCACCTAAAAAAAAGTTTCTTTAAGGGCTAATTTGGTATGGTGGAATGAATTGGAATGGAGGTGGAAATGGAATAATGATTCTTCTTCTATCATTTGGTTACACTGTATGTGTAAAAATGGAATGTTCATTCACATTCATGGGTTTGGTAAGAAAGTTGGAATAAAATGAATTTATATTATTTTTTTAAATTACATTTTATTTTTAGTAAAAAAAAATTAACTAAAAAAATTAACAGAGGAAAATAGACAAAAAAAAATAAAAAAAAATCGAAAAGGAAGGATGAGGTCGAAGACTTGGCAAAATAAGGGCTCCAGGTCGTCCTTGCTTCTTTGCCTCAGAGGTGTCTTACCAAACATGAAACTAAGGAAAGAGTGGTTATGGATTGTCTCTCTTGTCAATTGATCTCTAGCCCCCAAACTCTCTCTAACATCACCATCAATCTCAACATTGCCAGCATTATCGTCGTCTGGAAAGTGCTCTGTGTTACGGAATTTCTCAACTGGAAGGTGATCCGACAGAGGAGAGGCGTAGCCTCTCCGCCGGAGAACAACCCCAATCCAATTTTATATTTCTGTCAATATATATATATATATATGAATAGTAAATTGATCCAAATTATTATTATTTTTTTTAAAACAGGTTAAAATAGAAATTTTATAACTCAAAACTACAAAAAGGATTGCAGAATTTTGGTTAAGGTCAGGATGGTTTATTGCCAAATTAGTTAAGGGATGAGTTACCAAAAATTGGTAGTACAGAGTTTCATGTTTTGGCATTTTGCCAAAATAAAATGAAGCACGTAAACTGGGACAGCTCATGCATTTTATTTCCAGGAATAAAAGTGATCCCATCAACGGAATCAAACACACCGCAAATTACATGTGACAAACTATACCCTTCTGTGCGAATATTGCTCTGCACAAAGGATCAAAATATATATGTATATATATATATATATATATATATATATATAACTGATAGCATCTCTCACCAACATAGAACTCGCAATTGTATATAAAATTGATATACATATTTGAATTATGACGCTCTGCAATGCACCAACTTGTTCCTAAGGACAGAACTCTAGTGTTTTTCAACAATTTTCAAACTTCAAAAAACCAAAACAAAAAATAAGGCTCAAAGACAAGCCACGGGAAAATCGTAAAATCTAATTTATCCTTGAGCTGTTCCTCCTCCCCCACCACTTCTTTTTCACCCGGTCAGCGGCCCCTTCTTCATTTCCAAGCTTATTCAAGATTACCTTTGTTTCTCGCAGTCTTACTCCGTAATCATTCTTCCAAGCTTCAAACATCTGTTTTAACCTTCTAAGCTCACGATCTGGGTTCAAACTCGCCTCGACCTGACCTGACTTTACCTCCACCAGGAATTTCGCATCATCACCAAATACTTGACTCCTCTGCTCGAATTCTTCAGCCAATCGGCTTATAACACTCAGACCTGCACTCATTGGTCTCACCCCATTGCTGTCTTGACCTTTGAAATTACTACCCGTTTCCCAGCTGTAGTCTCTGTCATCGTTTATACTGACTGATGCATCAGAATTCCTTGCAGAATCATCAACAGCTAGGCTCTTCTTTGCAATGGATAGGCTTGATTGTAGTGATCTCATTTGTTTCTGCCACACTTCTTCCATGGACTTCATTTTCAGCTCATACTCAGACCAACGGCTCTCATACTGCTGGAGCCTCTGGTGGAGGATGTCATTCTCCTCTTCTTTCTCTCTTAGAGCAGCCTTGGCCTTAAGAACTCGCCGTTGTAGCTCAGCAAGGAAAGATGACTTCACCAACACCTCATCCGACTCATTACCCTGTTTAAGAACAATCATTTTTACCATGTATGAAAAAGGCAAGGGGAATTGCATGCACAACAGAGAGATTGTTAATCACTACATATAACTGTCAGTTGAACACACAGGTAAATTTCAATAGGACAAGAAAACCTATCAATAAAATATGAACACATCATGCTAAGAGCTCAGTTGACCATGAAAATGGTGCAAATCACACTCAAACAATGAACATAGACTACTCAGTTCTCAGAGCTGGCTTTCCATGTAACTCGGTGCGATCAGTTGATCAGGCTTTTCCTATATCTTCCACTCAAATGTATGCCATACTTGTAAGTTCTTCTAACACTCCACTAAAAATTATGAGAGAGAGGACCATAATGATCTGGCTCAAGATATCATAAAAAGTTACAGAGACCACCGTAAAAAGGATACTTGTGTGACAATTGAGAAGGACAACTGTACCAAGTGATTTTGTTAGTCTTGTCTAACAAAATATTTGCAGGTACTTAAAGTCTCCCCATCACAAACTTGTCTAACATGTCACATAAGGGCCGAGTCTTATCAGATTTAGGAATATCATGTGCTGGATCTTTGTTTCAATAAGAATAATACCACCCAAAAATTTGAAAAAGAAAGGAGCATAGATATATTCTTCCTTAGCTTACTGAAGAGATATAAGGAACATGCTCCATGCTTCATAGAAAATTAATTTATAAACGAGCACAAATGTTAGTCTGGAACCTGCCCGGATTAAAGGAAATTAATTTGATTTGCCACTAGAGTTTGTTATAAACGAGCACAAACTTCAAAAAATCAATCATCACACAGTGACTTAAAGCCACTAGCAGAACTAACAAGTACCTTTCTCCCACCGCATTGGAGTAATCCTATGTCTCCTGAGCATCTTCTGATTGACCAGCCCCGAATGACTGTGAAAAAGCTTGATCATTATGATGAACAACATACAATTAATGTAATACTGGTAAACACTAAAGCTTGCAATGTCAGTCCGGAGCCTTTCCAGATTAAAGGAATTTTAGTTAGCATTCCAGACTGATTGTCCCAACCCAACCCAGTTATTCATTTCACAGTTTACCCGATTGTATCAGAATTGATGCATGATAAACATTTGTGAACTTCTTCCTTCCAATCCTGCCTTTCAAATGCTTTTGTATAACTGTAGCTGCTCTATGTCTCTGTAGTAAGACTGCATATTCCTTCCTGTGTCTCTCACCTCGAACAACTGCAAGAAAAAATTTAGAAACATCAATCCTCAAAGACCTTTCGGACAGATTATGGTTTCCACTGAAAAGCAATTGAGAAACTTCAATACACAAGGTGAAAAACAGATATACATGACTGAAGGGTTGCAATTCCTCTCCTAAACTCCTTGAGGTAACGACGAGCTTGATGACCTCTAAAGCAGCTTTGAACACGTAAGATACCAAGGAGGGTATGGTTTCTTGTATCCTCGAGCACCCCGATCTAAATAGATTGTCATTGACAGACAAAGATTTGTCATTAATAAAACACATCAAACATCCAGCAGAAGGTGTAAAAAATTATAAACAATTCATCCAGTCGTAATGTTAACCATTAAGAACTACTATTTGTGGGGGTTATTTTTGCTGCCCCTGTAAATGTGTAATGCAACCCTGTTTTATCACTACCTCTGCCACATTTAGATGTAAGGCTGCCCTCTATTTTATTTGTATAATACTCACATCAAAGATTAGAAAAACATGATAAACCGTTTCTAGCTCCGGTGTAAGAGATTCAATAATTCATGAAAACACTTGTAAGGGACTACTATTGAGTACAAGTTCCAAGAGCACATCAGCAAATAGGTATGTATAATATAGAAAACAAAGAAGACAAATACTTAACAGAACCAGATACCATCTGCTCCACACAATGAATGGATTTAAAATTAACAGATTTGAGTTTAGACAAAATTTGTTATTGAGTTGGATTCGAGTCTCAAGGGGATATGAGATTATGAGACACATTTTATTGCCATCATCGAGCAGCAGAAATAATTACCAACATGGATTTCAAATAACTCCTTCCACCAAGTTTTCTGAAATCAATACATGTAAGTTTCTCAAATCATTGTTAAAGCTTAAACCTAAATCAAATCATTCACTCTACATATATGTTATATTCATTTAAATGTTTGTTTATATACCCCTTCATTCGAACTCCTTCCATCCAAATGGAACCTAATTGTTCTTACACAAGCTAATGTCCTAAATATATGTGTATTGGGAAAAGAATTTTTTTATTTTTTTAAAAATAAATAAATCTAACATGAGATTAATCTCAATTTTCTTTCTTTAACTTACTTATCTCATTTCAATTTTTTTTTTTTTTTGATAAATAACTTATCTCATTTCAATAGAGCCACTAATAACATTTCCAACTAGATGTAAAAGTTCTACTATTCCTTTCCATCTGGAAAATTAAATGTATTCTCAAGGGATAAGACCTTAGACCTGCAGGTGGGCAGCAAATTAAATTCTGAGTCTCGGAGGTCAATAATAATCATTTTCTCCTAGTCAACACATACCTTGATATGCATGCACCATAGTTTTGACTTTTAGCATGATAAAGCAAATAAAAAATAAAAAGAAAAGGAGACAAAAACGGAAAAGGGCCAAAAAGGATATGAAATCAATCACACATATTCATCTTGCCTGTCCAGTTCGGAAAAAAAATATCTCTCTCTCCCCTTGCATTCAACTAAACAAAACAAGTGAAGAAACCATAAAATTTAAATTGGTTCAATCTCAAAGTGTGACCCACTTGGGTCTTGGAAAATTTATTAGCTTTGATGTTTTATTATTATCATGTCTTTGATATGTGACAAGAAAAAATTGTTGCTGGATATAGGCAAGAAATAGTTACATTTAAGTTTTAAGTAGTGGTGAAGCTTAGCAATGTGTGCACATTTCTTTGTGGGCTAATAAAGTCTGGTGTGTTTGAAATGTTGAAGTATAAGTTTTACAAAGCTGCCTAATTCAATGGGCTTCCCAAGTTTCCTCGACTACGGAACACAATAAAAGGCATAATACTCAAAAAGAGAAAATAATGTATATTATTTCATAAATAAATGTCATGTATATACATATGTGTATATTTCTGCAATGATCATATGTAGATGCCAAAGATGAACACGCACTCTGTTTAGGGCATCGGAGAACATAGAAGAATATAAGATGAAAAATATAAAAATACCCAATATAAGAACAATTTATATACCAAGGACTTAGCCTTCCAATAATGTAAAACCAATGGAGATCGAAAACTTCCACTCAAAATTTCCTTCTTTCCTTCCTTTCCCTAGATGTTTCTCATTCAGCAACCAAATAAATCTTAGAACTGTTACGTTACTGATTGTATGAGTGAGAGAGACGAGTTTGAGAAACAATACATTATAGATTGTCATTAATATGAATGATCGAAGCAAGAATGCAATAATATAATATATGTAAAACTATACACTAGAAGTTATAATCCAAAGTAGAAGGTCAAGTACCAGAGGGGCAAAAGTGGGTGTATGTGTTTCTTGCCTATGAATATATATATATATATATATATATATATGTACGTACCAGACATTACGGAATCGGTGTATTCATTCTCGGGTTGGAGGTGAGAGAGGATTTCGGAATCAGAGAGAGAATTGTCGCGAAGCCAGTAGTAGTCGTCGACTCTGACGTCTCCGAACAACTCCATTTCATGCTTCACTTTCTTGGCCGTCGGTGGAGCCATCAAGGCCATCGTCGATGTCATTGCTGTTGATGATGATGAGACGCAACGCGAAAGCTGAAAGTTAATTTTTGCAGCGGTGAAGCGGATGAGAAAATGGGAGGCACGACCAAGTGGAAGACGTTGTGATCGCCGACTTGAAGAGAGCGATACAATCCGCCGATGCTCACTCTCGGCCTGACGCAGTGAAGCATTTCTTGTTCCAATATGAAGGGCTAAATGCTCTGACACCCCGAGTTTCCATTTATTACTCCTATATTAAGCGCGGGCCATTTTTGCTATGACATTCCAAGGCCTGGTTTAATTTGCTCTGACACTAAGGTCTGGTTTAATTTGCTCTGACACTTTCTCATGTTAGTTGGCCAATATATATATTAGCAAAAATAATGCCTAATTTTTTTTTTTTTTCCAATATAAATTTAGGTTTTTTTTTCTTGAAATTTATTTGTTATATATATATATATATATATATATATATATATGAGAATTAAATCAACCCCCTCTAACCCCCCTCTAATAGTTGAGAGGGGTTTTTTGACAAAAAAAATAAAAAATGGGGATTTAGTGAAAAACACAGATAGAAAGAGGGGTTTAATGTAGTTCACTCTAAAAAATAACATGTTCAACATTTCCAACTATCCAACAAAAATCCAAATTCGATTGAAATAAAAAAATCACTATGTTCAACATTTCCAACCATCCAACAAAAATCCAAGTGAGATTGAACTCGAGAACCTGCCAACATGAAGAGAAAAAAAACTAATAAACAACCAATTTTATTAATGGAACAAATAATAATGCATAGGAATTGACCATGTTGAATAACTTATTGTGAAAGTTACCTTTTTATATCCTAGCTTGAGTAGGAAATGAAGAACCAGGATCACTTGTTACTTGCTGAATACAAAGAAGAAAAGGAAATCCAATAAAATTATGCACATAAAATGCAAAAAAAAAAACGGTTTCAAAGTCCAACTTTCTGAGATTACCCTTCTTAAATTTTCCCTTTACTGACTTGTTCCTTCTTCACTACTCTTTAAATGGTGAAAGTTACAGAATTAACAACCAAATTGAAAAAAAGAAAAAGAAAAAGAAAAAGAAAAAGAGAAACTGAGACAAATTAATACAACTTACATGTCTGTTCACTGCTCTTCCTTGTTGCCCACTGCCAACTGGTGCTCCCTTGCATGTTCTTTAGTTGTGTCTATGGATACCACAAATACTGCATCTTAAATTGCATGATCTCTTCATTGAAGCTGCTTCATCAACTTCCCTTATCCTATGTTTCTTAGGTCTTCCTGGTGGCCTTCTAAGGGGTGGTCGCAATACTGGATTACACTCCACCTCTGGCCAATCACTTTTATCATGCATTGGATGTATCATTTTTCCATATGCCCTCAAATACATTTCCTTTGTAAAATACCTATCCACAAAGTCCTCAAACTTATACCTTTTGAAAGCAATACAAGCTGCAACATGCTTACAAGGAATCCCAGTTAGCTCCCAAACCCTGCAACAACATGTCCAAGTGTTTAAATTCACTATATATTTTCTCCCAGGTTCTACCACCTCAAATTCATCACCTCCGGCATGGCTGGGATTACAATACCTAAACTTATCTATTGCATTATTCAATGTTTTAAGCATATTTGGGGTAATGTTAGATTCCCATGCTATGGCCTTCTGAAACCTCTTTTGCATCCTGCACATCAACTTTGACCTCACACAGTCCATTAGGGTGAGAATTGGTTATTCCCTCAATTTCCCTAACCAGCTGTTAAAAGACTCAACAAAGTGCTAGTGACATGATCAGCTCTTGCATAACCATAGTATTTATGCCTAACCCAGAGCTTCAAAGGGTGATTCATCAACCACGTATATGTTATCTTATTAACCACTCTAATTTCATTCATTGCAATCTTAAATTCCCTTTCAGTGTAAGCCCTAGCTGCAGCCCAGAATTGCTTCATAAATTTTAACCCTGGAAACTTACACTTGTAGTTGTTGAAAATATGTCTGCAATATCTTATATGGATGTAACCATTGAAAATGTTATGAAGTGCGGGCTATATTCCCTAAAAGAAAAATAATTCAAATTGTTAAAGCATGTATAACAAATTGAAACAATTGAAAAAATATAGTTAAAATAGTCTAAAACACAGTACCTTTTAACCATCTGTTATGAAGGTCCAAACCCTGTTTTGATGATTTGCAACACCAATAACATCCTTCAAACAATCCAGGAGAACTCCCAGGCCTCTTTGGTCTCGGCCTCACAAATGCATATTGCGACGGGGAACACCCCATTATTTCCATCAAGGGCAGTGGCAGAAAGCAAAATCTCATTAGCCATACCCTTCAAGTGGCAGCCATCTAACCCAATGAAAAACTTTATTGGCACTTATATATTACCATGGTAGAACTTTCTACCACGGTTATTTTAAAATCGTGGTAGTAATTATACTTTCTACTACGGTTATGATAGAACCATGATAGAAAATGATTTTATTTCACCATGGTTAGTAATTATATTTTCTACCACGGTTATAATAGAATCATGATAGAAAGTGATTTTATTTCACCATGGTTAGTAATTATACTTTCTACTACGGTTATGATAGAACCATAATAGAAAGTGATTTTATTTTTCCATGATTATTTTATAACAGTGATAAAAAGTGAATTAATTTTATTTAAGTTATTCTACCACGGTTTAGGCACCGTGGTAGAAAATGAATTTGGTTTAAGGCTGTGCGCGGGTCTTATACCCGCTAAATTCTTAAAATCTTAGGCAAGTCATTTCAGACCACACACCTACAGACCACACAATTTTAGGGAAAATCATTTCAGCCTCCCAAATCGCCTCCATCTCTATTCTCGTTCTCAACTCTGAACTTGCCCTCTCTCTATATCTCTGCAACTACAAACTACAAAATCTACAAGAATCAGATCAGCCTCCCAGATCGCCTCCATCTCTATTCTCGTTCTCAACTCTGAACCTGCCCTCTCTCTGTCTCTGCAACTACAAACTACAAAATCTACAAGAATCAGAACCCATATCGGCATATCATTTCAGATTGTTCAAAAAATCAAAACCTATATCCTTCAGTTTCCATCGCCCACTGTTCTAGTTCGGATTCGCCGTTCGAAAGCTTCAGCCTCAGGCCCGTTGTCTCTCAACTCTCAAGCCCTCTCTACTCTCTCATAAGGATGACGTTGAGTAACGACTTGAAGATCAGCAATCGACCAAAATTACAGATGTCTACAGGTAAATGTTTCTCTTATATCTTTCATCTCAATATGTTGGCGAAATATTTATCTCCGTATGTGGATAAGTAGTTGTGATGAAAAATCAGTTGGGGATTTTGGGATTTGAGGATTTTACTAAATTAATTTGATGCAATTTATTGATTTTCTTGAAGCCCTAGGCTTTTGCTGGAGTTTGGTTTTTAAAGCATGAAGAGCTAAGTGATAGGAAAAGGGTAACCTGTTAGAACACGGTTTTAATACATGGAACTGTAGACTTTTGTATGGATTGTTGAAATTTGCTTGCACAAACTTTTTTCTAATTCGTTCTTGTATTGGAGTTTTGTTGATGACCTCTGAAACTCATGTATTTTTACAAGTTGACTGTTATCTGCGTTTCTAAAAAATTGAAATTGGAAGAAACAGATTGATAACAAGAACAGACCAAAAGAATTAATAGAACTGAAGAAAAAAAAAATTTGATAAATGAAGATACAAAAAATACTCTTTTTTTTTTTTTTTTTTTTTTTCCTGGGTAAAATGGAACTCTCTTTTTTTCTTATTCTTTTTTTGCATATATATAATCTTTTTCATGTGTTATATATCCTCCATTGTGTGTGTGTGTGTGTGTTTCATTATACTCGCAGTCAATTTCCCCCTTAATTTTTAGTGCTTACCACCCTTTGCACTAGAGGATTCACATTGAAATCCTCAGTGAAACTTGAGAATGGGTAATTAAAAAGAGGTTAATGATTTTGTGTCGAGAGCAGATGCAAGTGGTAAGAAAAAGACACATAATAAAACTACAAAGAACCTGAAAAAGAGTCAATCAACTCACAAAATCATGAGGTACAATTTATACAAAATAAATAGCAGTCACATATTATATACTGAAAAACTTACCTCAGCTAACAACATGATCTGTGAAATAACAAATGACCTACACCTATCATTTTCTCATGGCTGCTTGTAATTCGTCACCGTTAGTAACACAGTCCGACTTTTAATCCCTTTGCTTCAAAGCCATGAAAAAGCTGAGAATTCAAAGCCAGCAACAGTTCCACCTGTCGCGGGAAGCTGAACATAGGCTTTTGCTGGAGTTTGGTTTTTAAATATGTGAATGCAATTTTTACTTGCTTTGAAGTAAGCTCTTGGTCTGTGTCTTTTACTTGCTTTGAAGTAAGCTCGTGTACTTTTAACTGCTGTCTAGTAAATGGAAAAACCTGCAGAATTAAGATCATATATTCTACTAAAGGCCTTGGCAAGAAGATACCTCAGGAAACAGTAGGTGATCTATGTTTACTTGAGCTTATGATTTATCATTCATGTTTAGCAGCTTGCCATTGATTTACCAATTGCATAATTGTAACCAGACCTAGCTTAACAATAGTTTTCTAGTGTAAAGAAAATGGGAATAACCAAGATATATAAATTATGTAGTAGAGCTGATTTGTTTGTGTTTCATTGTGCTTCAATTGATTGCACCTCGATTGCACTCTTGTGATGACTGATGGTAAGTTGCCCATCTTCCAGAGACTTATAAACTGAAATTTTTTAATGGCATTGATACTTGCCACTTTTGGCAAAATGTCATAACTTCATTTTCACACTAATAAAAAAAGGTCATATTTCAATTTTAGCATCAGTTATTAACTGGTTTCAGTTAGAGTGTGTTTATATCATAAAAAGGAAAAGAACTACTTCTAAAAATTCAAAAATACTGATGTTTAGGTTTAAGTTTGTTGTGGGTTCACACTATGCTAATTTGCTTTAGAAGTTAGAGATTTTTGCAGTAGAAAGTGAATGAAACTGGGTTTTTCTATTTTTATGATTTTTTTTTTTTTTTTTGGAATGTTAACTTGTTACTGAATTTGGATGTTGATATTTGAGCAGGTCAAGATGTGGATGATATTGAAGATAAGGTTTCTTCACATGAGGTAAGGAAACACAGGTTAATATATGCCTATATTTTTTGGTTCTCTAAAAGTGTTACTGTCAACCTTCTTGATGGTCTATTGGTTGAACTACTATTCAATGAAAACTATATCTTATATTCCTATATAATTCTTCATAGTTTGGTGAGATCTCATTTTGGCATTCACTGGAGAGCTTCCGATTTTGGAAATATAGATGTTTGGTAGTAATTGGTAGTAGATTATTTGGAATATTTTTGACCATTTAAGCTGATGAGATAGATGAATAGAGAATGGGTTCACTTTGGACAACTTCTAAGTTCTAACTAATACCAGGAAAACATGCATTTTGGGAAATTGTAGATGGTTCTATTGCATGTCAGGAAAGCAAATTTAAATCCCCATTGAGATATGAAGAATGTCTTGCAACTGGAGACACCGTCTAAAAACCTGGACTTAAGTGGTTTTATTGTCAGAGTGAAAATGTCTTTGGATTGACATTTCAAGTGTGAGTGACTGGTCAATTATTATCACATAATCGTCTTCAATTTCAACTTATTTTTATGATATAATTTAGTTCCTTTTTTTTTTGGGGGGGGGGGTTGACTTTTTTGTTGGGAAAAGACAGATTTTCTTGCAGAGGTGAGTGATGCATAGGCTATTGAGAGATAAACTAAAGCAGGTAAGCCCTCTCTTTTCTCTCTACATATATATATATGTATGTGTGTGTGTATCTCTACATATATATATATATATATATATATGTATGTATGTATGTATGTATGTATGTGTGTGTGTATGGTGTGTTTTGAAACTGTGCATCTTTATTCTTTAATATTTTCAAGATCATGCTTCTACATTTGCCATAGTTAATATATTCTAACAAATGATTAAGGGTATACCAATATGTGGCAAAACAAAAGGGGAAAAGAAATAGATGAAAGCATAAATGATTGATAACCTAGTTATAGAAGAAAAACTCTAATCATGAACCAAGCTAGTTTGATCTTTGACTAATAATCTTAGCAATAAAAGTGTTGTTTAAGCAATTCAACATTATATATAGTACTTCAATGCATTTTTATGTTTTACAATGTGTGTTTGCGCGAGCAAAAATGTATCGCCGTGCAGTGAAGTTGAAACCTATGTTCTTCTTTCATCATTAGTGTATATTAGATGAGTAAACTTCGATTCATGTTTAAGCTGAACATTTTTCTGCTCAGGCTACAAAAAGAAAGGCACCTCTGCTGGATCAGTCTTGGAGGGCTCAGGATCTTCTAGGAGCTCAGTGCCATCAACGATTATGAATGAGTAAGATATATAGAAGTCTCTTAATTATCTGTTTGGTTTACATAATTCCATTTTGTATAATTATCATTAAGCTAACATTTCCAACCTTTTTTCTTTAGGTCTCCATCGAAAAATGAAAGAAAGCTGCATGTGAAAACTGAGTTAATTTCCCCTTTCTAGATTTTAACACAGCTATATATGTTCAGTTAAATTAGAAGGAATTACTTTGAATCCATTTAAAGCAGCCGATTAGTATATACCATTTGAATTTCTTTGGCAGTAATAAGGAATGCTCAAGAAATAACATTTCTCCTACTACAGTAATATATTGCAAGAGTTGAGTAAAAAAAAAATGGATCAACCACTTGATTCTGTACGTATTAGTAAAAATTCCATTAGGCCTGCTAGATTTGGACCATTTGATTGGAACATTCTTTCCCCTTTGAAAATAATCTTACTACTATTTTGTCAGGTTATATATGTCACTGAGTAGCATACACCTTTGAAAATAACTAATATTGCTTTGTTTGACTTGGATAGCAACTTGAAGAAACTGAGCTCTGCAAGGACCATTTTAGTCTTTGTACTCTTTTTCAAGTGTGCTTGAGCTTCTTAGTCAAGGATTTCAACAGACCCCCCAAAGTTTGACTTAATATTGGTTGAAAATGAATATTACATGTTCCTTTTCCATACCCATTTGGCTTTATATTACTTCGTGAATGCACAATGCTATTCAGACTATGGATTTTTATCCTTGATAGATTAAATAAGTTCATAGGTTTTTTTTTTTAAATTTTTTTTAACTAGGAGAAAAAAGTTTTAATCCTATCCAATTCAATCCATTCAAAGAATATAGCTTTTATTTTTGAAAACTGCCATTTAAAGCCGGTTATAAGTATATGTTGTATATTTTAGGTAACTATTTTTCCTTAGACAATTTTATCATTTTATATTTTTTTATAAAGACAACATTAGCCATTCTTCTATGAACTTGCTTTACTTTAATTCTCTTACTTCAACTATTACATCTTTGTAGGTCAAAGCTAGGATTGTGGGTTGCGATTGTTGTTATTTTTTTTTGTTACCACTATATTTTTTGTATGGCTCATGAAGAAGTTGCAAGAAGATATGAGGAATTTTTGTTTTATTTTGGTTAAGTAAATATATAATGTGTAGATCATGTACTTATTTGAAATTTGTATATGGCTAATTTTGTATAAAACAATGATTTGGAATTAGTTATATATATATATATATGATGTTTTTGGTTAGTGGTAAATTATTTTGGTTATGATGTTATTTTTTATTTATTTAGGGTTTGCTTATGGGGTCCTTGCAAGGATAGTAGTAGGGAAAAAAGAAAAAGAAAAAAAAAAAGGCTTCAAATGGGCCACACTAGTTTTTTAAAATATATATATAACATTTTCTACCATGTTATGCACCGTGGTAGAAAGTTTATTACTTTATAAGAAAATAAACTTTCTACCACGGTTCCGCACCGTGATAGAAAGTAGGAACCGTGGTAGAAAGTAAGTAAGACTTTCTACCACGGTGCGGAACCATGGTAGAAAATAGACTTTCTACTACAGTGCGGAACCGTGGTTGAAAATAGACTTTCTACTACAGTTGTTTCTATCACGGTTCAAAGCCGTGATAAAAAGTCATTTTTCTTGTAGTGCACGGCACACCTGTTCACAGGGTCATCACACATATGACTCTGAATGAGACCCAAAGTTCAGTATTGCAGCTTTTTTCTTAGCCCTATAGCATGTCCATAACCTAACTAAATCACCCCATTTCTTTTGCACCTCATCACGCATACTATCATCTGCCATATTTGGATTAAGTCTAAGTTGCTCCTTCATCTTTGAATAAAACCAACTAGCTTTAGCATCAGGATTTTTTTCTTGCCTCACACATATATGTTTAGGTCCAACCCTCCTCACTATGTATGTAATACCATCTGTAATAGGGGTTGTCCTAATCATCCACTTACAGCCCTGACAACCACAATGTGCAACTACCCTTCACTCTTCATTCTTATCTCTCACTAACTTGAACCCCTCTTGAATAGCGAAATCTTTCAAAATTTCTCTGAAATGGTTAACATCATCAAACACATGACCCCTTCTTAATTCTATCTTCCCAGCATCTGTCCTCACAAATATTTCACCATTAAGACTTTTGTCTTCCAACATCATTCATTACCTCATCATTGCTTAATTGGGCATACCCCTTACTATCATCAGAGTTGTAATCTGACAACTCTCCACCATCTTCCTCATTGAAGTCCTCATTAATATATTATACATTGTCATCAAAATCATAATCCATATCATCCCCTATATGGACTTCATCAGCATTTGCAATTTCATTGTACTGTTCACTATCACTACTACCATACCCACTATAACACTCATCCTCACTCCAATCAGGATCACTATCAGTGTCATTCTGAGAGGCAGTTTGCACACTACCAGTTGGTGTAGGGGTAGGAATAGGGGTAGGTGTTGGTGTTGGTGTTGGTGTTGGTGTAGGGGTAGGTCTATCAATTCCAGTTACACCACTACCTCTATCAAAAGAACATATTGGATTGTCACAAATTGAACCCTCAAAGAATACTTCAATATCCCTAATCCCTATATGCATTTCAAACATCGTTGACAAATCTCTATCATTTTTCATTAGCATTTTATCCTTTGTACCAGGGATACCACAATACGTGTCCAAGGTGATGCCAAATGTAAGGCCACCAATGAATGACAATGTACAAGCACCCTTTAATAAATCCCAGTAACAGCACGTGATTGGGTCTACATCACCTATTACTCCCACTTGACCACCATAATTCACAAGAATGTCATGCATCTTCTCCAACCTTAATTGAACAAATTTAAATAATAAGAAACACTTCAATTTAATAAAGTCAAGTTTAGAAAATTTATCAACTAATCAAAATATTACCTTTATATACAACAATCAAAAGAAAAAAATTATACAAACAGTATCCTTTGGGTAAATCTTTTGTTGTGGAAATTTTCCTTGAAACAACAGATAGTTGCAAAGGAGAAAAAAATAATAATAAATAAAAGACGACCTAGTTCTCTCTGAAAGATGTTTTTTTTTGGTGTTTGAAACTCCCAACAAGGACTTTGCTCTCTCATGTTGTACTGAATATGACTTGCTAGTCTATGATTAGAATTCTTATCTATTTCCCTTTAAAGCTATCAATATCAAAAGGGTTGTTAACGATTCTTAATCCACTTATACAAGCAAATCTTGCTCTCTTGATAATATAAAAAATAACCCAAAATAGCATCTTAGAAATAATTTATAGATGAATAAGATAAAATAAAAATTGTCAAAGAAAGCATTCTGGTAAAGCCATTCCCAAAAAAAAAAAAAAACACACCTTTGGGTTTTGTATATTTTATATGAATTATAAGGATTTTATTAGCATACTAACTTCAATAAATTTTGGAACTTGTTGTTTAGCTTGGAGGTCCTTACATCCCCCTTCAAACTAGAAGAAGAGATGGTAGGAAGAGCAGAGCAGATGTGCTTGAGCAATACCTCCCAGACCACAAAGAGACCATCTTTGTTGTCCTTGAGAAGTTTGGGTAAATCTTTTGTTGTGGAAAATTTACTTGAAACAACATATAGTTGTAAAGGAGAAAAAAACAATAATAAATAAACGACGAAGAGAGACGGTATATAGTTCGGAGAAGACAAACTAACTTGTGCGATTTTCCTCAGCGATTCAGAGGACAAGCTCTCTGTAATTTCTCCGGTGGAAAAACTAGCGACGGTGATGCTACTCAAGACTGGAAAGAAAGAGAGGGACTGTTAGAGGATTGCAGAGTTCAGATACCCAGAAATCACCATCAAAATCGCAGACAAACTTTGTTTGCAAAGAAGGGAATGATATAGAGATTAATACAGTTAGGGTTTTCGAGATTGATAGAGATACAAGATAAAGGGAGATAAGATGGAGTCTTGGCCTTTGGTTCCTGAGATGCAAAGTGTAAGTTGCAGAGATTACAAAGGAAAGGGTGAGATAGAGATGGAGGTAGAGAGAGGTAGTGAAGACAAAAGAAAGATGGGTTTTGGGGTTTGTTTAATCAAATCAATTATAAGGGCAGTTTTGTGATTTCATATTTTATCCATAAATGTCAGTAGTGACATCAGCTTGGGTTTTAAATTAAACATGGGTATAATAGTAAATTCATATTTTATGTGAAAGAATAGACGCCCGTTAAATCATGTAGGGGGTGTCATAGGAAAAATGGCTGAGGTTTAATATAGGAGCAATAAATGGAAACCTCAGGGGGGTGTCAGAGCATTTAGCCCCAATATAAAAGCATTTCTTGTTCCAAAAAAAGCAATGTTACTCTAAATAGACAATTACTAAAATACCCACCAAGTTAATGGCTTATATATATAGGGTAATTTACACAAACCTCCCATATGGTTTGCTATGATTATAGGGACTTCTCTTCTTGTTTGGGAATTTACTCGGACCTGTAATGACCCGGTCATTTTCTTCCTTTTCTTTTTTTCTTAAATTTTGCGGATAAATTTTTTCCGTTGTCTTTTCTAGTTTATGGATGGTTTTTTGTCACTTAGTGTCGCCTTAAGTGCTCGGAAATGGTTTCTGAGACTCTTTTCTGCGGATTGACAACTTTCTTTGAGAACCAAATCATTTTCACAATTTTCATTTTTCGACACTATTCACTTTTTTGTCCTTATTCCTATTTCATCCCTTTCCCTATTTCGTCTTTTCCCCGTTTGTCACTTTGTTGGCAAAACCTCACTTCTTGTGCTCGGAGTTGGTTTCTGACTTCACGTATCTTCGTCTTGAGTGGTTTCCACGAAGTACGTATCTTTACTTTTTCAGAAAAGTACTCTTGTTACTCCCGGTGTCCATAGGGGCGTGGATGCATAATTCTTTGAAATTAATTTCTTTTCTTGGGGTATTTTTTGTAAATATCTTTTGAAGATATTTTATTTCAAGTGTATCTAAGAAAATATTTTTTTGGAAGATATTTTTATTCTGGGACAATTTCGCAGTTAACCCTTTTTGTAGGGGCCATTATGCAATTAACGAAAGTTATTGCAAAATGTCTCGTCTGGAGCCTGGATCCTCGTACGGGATTCATTTTCATTTCTTGTTGACTCGTAAATTCATAAAATTCCGTTCTGGTCATTTTTCTCCAGTTTCAGAATTTTTGGACCCGGTTGCCGCCGAACTTGTTCGGGGCATATCTTTCTGCTCGGGACTCAGTTTTTGACGTCATTTCTTCCGTTATTCATATTTTCTTATTATGAATCTTTTTCGTTCACGGAGTTTTGCCGTTTGAGCACGTTTGCTCAAATTTTACTTTTCCGGACCTGGCGGGGCTCGTTCGGGGCACTTTTTGGATTTTCCTATAAAAGGGAAGTGAGATATTTCATTTTTGGCCATCTTCTTCCTTGATGCACGACCAGCAGCTCCCATGGCTTCCAAAAGGGGCTGCCACCCTTCTTCTTCCATTTAAATCCTCTTCCCTTTGTTAAAAAGTTGAAGTGCCTTTGCGTTTTGTATTCGTGTTGACTACGCGCTTCTTTTACCCTTATTAGAACCCATTTCCGACTAAATTTTGAGTTTGGTTTTGAGTTCAAGTAGTGATTTTCATGGGGCTTCTTTGGGATTCTTGTTCACGGTGTTGTCCCCGACAAAACCCCGAAGTATTGTCGGATTCGGAGCCGTTTCGTTTTGATGAATTTTGAGATTTTCATCTCAAATTGAGGTAGGGGGTGTCTTAGGATTATATTTATGTTGTATTGATTGTTATATGAGCATATACAATTTGTGAGCATGTTTTGTTTAAGATTTAGAATTTAATTTAATTAATTTCTATATTTGAGATTTAATTCATATGGCTTTGTGTATAATATGGAATTAAATTGTGGCATGCTAGGAAATTAAGTTTTAGTATGTTGATTAACATATATTAAATTTGGGGCATTTGAATAAGAATTACAAAAATTATTTAATATTTATTTTTTCTGAAAGTTTAATTCACATGGTGATAGCAAGCATGAAATCATGATGTAATGTAACATTTAGATAGGCCTTGGCATGTTCTCTAACATAGATTAAATTGAGGGCATTTGGAATTGTTTAAAAATCTAGAGGAAATAAATTAATTAGCTTGATTAATTTTTGTTTTAAGTGTTTTAATCACTTAACTTGTCATTTGACGTTATATATGTGATGACCATGACATGTCCTTCAAT